GCCGACATGCACTTCATGTATGGCAAAGCAAACGGTTGTGCTTTGGAAGCTCGGAGGTTGTACCAAGAAACTTTTCCAAATCGCCAGCTTCCTTCTGATAAACTGTTCAGCAGTTTACATCAGAGATTAAGAGAAACTGGTAATTTTACGCCAAATAAGAGAGATTGTGGACGAAACCGTACTACCCGAACGGCGCAGACAGAGGAAATTGTTCTACAACAGATTGAAGCTAATCCAGGTAGTAGCACCAGAAGAATTTCAGTACAAACGAATATTCCCAAAAGTGTTGTATGGGAAATTTTACACGAGGAACTTTTGTATCCATACCATTTGCAAAGAATTCAAGCGCTAAAACCTCGGGATTTTTTGCCTAGAGTGGAGTTTTGTCAGTGGATGCAGATGAAATGCCATCAGGACCGTCATTTCCTCGATAAAGTCTTGTTTACAGACGAGGCAGGATTTACGCGTGAAGGAGTGGTAAATTTTCATAACAATCATATTTGGTCAGATGAAAATCCTCACGCGATTTTCGAAGCTCGATTCCAAGATAAGTTTTCCATTAATGTTTGGGCAGGTATTATAGGAAATAGGTTACTAGGACCATATGTTATGCCGCATCGTTTAGATGGGCCCGCATACTTACATTTTCTACAAAACACTTTACCAGTTTTGCTCGAAGATTTGCCTTATGGATTAAGATTAGAAACATTTTTTATGCACGATGGGGCTCCAGCCCATTTCAGTTTATTAGTTCGACAATATCTTAATCAGACTTATCCAGATCGGTGGATTGGACGAGGTGGATCCGTAGCTTGGCCTCCCCGTTCGCCGGATGTTAGTCCGTTAGACTATTTTCTATGGGGTTATTTAAAACACTTAGTTTATTCAGTGCCTGTTGACAGTGTACAACAACTGGAACAAAGAGTCATTCATTGTTGCCAAGAAATACGGAATATGCAAGGTGTTTTTCAACGAGTTAAACGTTCAATGAGAAATCGTTTAGCCAGTTGCATTGAAATGAATGGACATCACTTCCAACACTTGCTGTAACTAAAGAAGTAACATTCAGGTTTAATAATA